TGGGGGCCCCCCTGGGGGCCCCCCTCGGGGCCCCCCAGGGCGCGGCCCCGGGGGGCCCCGACCCCAGCAGCAGCAGCAGCAGCGTGGAGCTGTCGCTGTGCGGGCACCTGCTCTTCGGCACTGCAGCAGAGGCGCAGCACGACGCAGACGTGTTTGCTGCTGGGCTTTTGAGCTGGGGGGCCCTCGAAGAAAACCCTAGTTTGTGGTATCACCCCTCGCTGGTGGCCAGGTTCGAAGGGGGGCCCCCCTACTACCCCGGGAAGGTGGCGCTGCCGCTGCTGGCCAGCTGGCTGCTGTTTGGGAGGCCCCTGGCGCTGGGGAGTGTGCGCAGGTTGATGGCTGCGGACCTGCGCTACACCGACGGCCCCTGCAGCAGCAGCAGCAGCAGCAGCAGCAGCAGCAGCAGCAGCAGCAGCAGCAGCGGCGGAGGCGGGGCGGGGGAGGGCAGCGAGGGGGAGAGGCTCAGGCCGCAGCCGCTCGCGGAACCTGCGCTGGGACAGCAGTGCTTCAAACCCCAAGGTCGCTGCTCCCTAACCTAAACCCTAAACCCTAAACCCTAAACCCTAAACCCTAGGTGCGGGACGCGGGGGGCTGCTGCGGAGCGCGTTCTTTCGCGCGCGAGGTGTGTGTACACCGCTGCTTGTTGCTTCTTCTTTAATTGTCCTTCACTTTTGTTTATTTATTTACTTATTTCTTTTTTATTTTTAATTTCATTTTCAGGACTCACCTGCAGCAGCGCCGTCAGCGACAGCGAATCCCCCGCCTTTGCTGCTGCCAGCGCCCCCAGCGGCAAACGCCTCAGACGCTCCCTGCGGCCTACCCCGGAACAACTGGTACGGTTTAGGGTTTAGGGTTTAGGGTTTAGGGTTTAGGGTTTGTTGCCTGCCGCCTGTGGACTGCGGCGGCGGCCCCGCGGCCGCAGGCTTGGCGTGGCGAGCAGCGCGGAGAGAACCGTGACCTAGGGTTTATTAGGGTTTAGGGTTTAGGGTTTAGGGTTTGGGGTTTGGGGTTTGGGGTGTGCAGGAGGCTTTGGACTTGAAGCCCGGGGCGAACAGCGTTTGCTTCACAGTCAGCTCGGCGCTGCAGGGAGAGAAAAGTGTTTGCGGCACAATTTATTTGTGGCCGACGGACATTAAAATTGTGGTTTCTGACGTCGACGGCACCATCACCAGGTTTGCTGCTGCTGCTGCTGCTGCTGCTGCTGCTGCTGCTGCTGCTGCTGCTGCTGCTGCTGCTGCTGCTGCTGCTGCTGCTGCTGCTGCTGCTGCTGCTGCTGCTGCTGCTGCTGCTGCTGCTGCTGCTGCTGCTGCTGCTGCTGCTGCTGCTGCTGCTGCTGCTGCTGCTGCTGCTGCTGCTGCTGCTGCTGCTGCTGCTGCTGCTGCTGCTGCTGCTGCTGCTGCTGCTGCTGCTGCTGCTGCTGCTGCTGTTGCTGAGCATCTAGCTAGCTAGTTAGCTAGCTAGTTAGCTAGCTAGCCAGCGAGCCGGCGGGCGCGTTGCGCAGGTCGGACGTGCTGGGGCAGCTGATGCCCATTGTGGGGCGGGACTGGTCGCACACCGGAGTGGCCGAACTCTTCACCAAAATAAAAAGAAATGGATATTTAATTCTTTACTTGACCGCCAGGGCCATTGGCCAGGCCGACGCCACCAGAGACTACCTCTTCGGACTCACTCAAAAAGAAAGAGACAAACTCCCAGGTACCCTCTTTTTCCCCCACAAACGGGGCCCCCGGGGGCCCCTGGGGGCCCTCCTTGGGGCCCTTGGGTGCCCACGGGGGCCTTAGGGGGCCCCGAGAAGCCGTAAATGCCAGACCGTAGACGTTGGACCGTAAACCCTAAACCCTAAACCCTCGGTTTGTGCGCTGCAGACGGCCCGTTGATACTGAGTCCGGACCGGCTTTTTCCTTCTTTTAGGAGAGAAGTAATTGACAGAAAACCCTACATTTTCAAAATAGCAGCGTTGAGAGACATTAGGAGTCTTTTTCCTGCAAACCGAAACCCTTTTTACGCTGGGTTCGGTAACAGAGAGTCGGTGCGCCCACAAACCCTAAACCCTAAACCCTAAACCCTAGGCAGGAGGCCCGAGGCCCACACTCGCGCGCAGGGCAGACCGCAAACCCCAAACCCTAAACCCTAGATGGAGAGCCGGCGTGCAGTTAAAACCCTAAACCAAAGACCTAGCACCAGGAGGGAGGTTTATAGGACGAAACGCCAAACCCTAAACCCTAAACCCTGAGGGTTTGCTGCAGGACCATCGGGCGTATATCCATGTGGGCATTCCTGAGGCGAAAATATTTATTATTGACACTGCTGGGGTTATTCACCACATCAGCAACGCCACTTACGCGCGCACGTGAGTCCAAACCCTAAACCCTAATCCTAATTCCTAATCCTAAACCCTAATCCTAAGCCCTAATCCTAAACCCTCGGCGCAGGCTGGCGGCCGCAGCTGGGGTTTAGGGTTGTAGAGGTCCTGCTGGCTAGTTTGCAGCAACCCAGCACTGCAACACGGCGCAGCCCTCCAATACACGATCCGCACAGTAGGGTTTAGGGTTTAGGGTTTAGGGTTTAGGATCTAGGGTTTATGTGGGAGAACGATGCTGAGCCGCCCCAGAGCCGAAAGGCTCGCACAGCGGATGGGTTGCTTTTGCCTGCTGCTTAGGGCCTAGGGTCTGGCCTTCGGGACCTAGGGTTTAGGGTTTAGGGTTTAGAGTTTAGGGTTTAGGGTTTGGGGTTTGTGCGCAGGTACGAAACGATGAGTGACATCGCGGAGCACATGTTTCCCCCGCTGAGGAGTTCTTTGAAAAGAGACGAAGCAGAAGATGAAGCGGTTAGAGAAAGGAAAAGACTGCAGTATATATTGCAGCTAGGCCAGAAGGAGAGACACGAGCAGCAGCAGCAGCAGCAGCAGCAGCGCAGCAGCAGCAGCAGCAGCGGCGGCGGCGGGGGCGCCCTCTGGGACTTGCCCACAGGGGTTTGCTGCAGCGCCTGCAGCGACGAGCAGCAGCAGATCACCATCTAACCAGCTGAACAGCTAACCCTAAACCCTAAACCCTAAACCCTAGAGTTTCAATGCGGAAAGCAGCCAGTTAATCGCCCGAGTTGCTAACTACAACTCGGAATTAGGGTTTAGGGTTTAGGGTTTAAGGTTTAGGGCTCAAGAATGAGTTGCTGACTAACTAGCTGTGCTGCTGGCGACGAAGTCCAGCCTAAAGAAGGAAGAAGCAGATGCGATGGCTGCAACCAAACCCTAAACCCTAAACCCTAATTCTGTCACCTTGAAGCCGCGGGGTGTTGAGGGCCCTCGAGCTTTGCGCCGCTCTCGGGGCCCTCACCCAGAGGCACAAATCAGTAGATGAAATAAATAAAATAAATAAATATAAATAAATAATTAAAATTAAAAATAAAAAATAAAAAATAAAAAACAATCTCATTGATTATTTATTAACAATTTTTATTTGCGCCTGAGAACGCTTGAGGTGGTCCGGCAGCAGCCTGGCCCGCACTTGCTACGCAGCAGCAGCAGCAGCAGCAGGCTTTGCTGCTGCTGCTTTTGCTGCTGCTGCTTTTGCTGCTGCTGCTGCTGCTGGGGGGAGTTCAGCTCTGTCTCCTTACAGCCGCAGCAGCTGCTGCTGCTGTTGATTTTTGTGGCCTGCTGCGCTGCAACTGTTTTGAGTCGGAGTCCTAGCATTGTTTGTCTCTTTTTGTTTTTATCTCCACTTTTATTTCCTGATTTTCTTTTTTTAGTTATCGTTGGGCACTGGGCAGCAGCAAACCGTAGCCGAGGTGTGCGTACACCCCACGGTGTACATACACCCCAACGCGCACCCAAGGACACCCGCTAGAGCCCGCCCCAATTCTGATTTATTATTTATTGCTTTCCTTTTAAATTATTATTATTATCATTATTATTATTATCATTATTACTATTATATTATTATTATTGTTACGAGTATTATATTTGTTTGTACTAGCGGCAGCAGCAGTTAGTGTTCTGAGTTGCTGAGGGGCTTTTGGCCTATTGTGTCAGCAGCAGCAGCAACTGCTGCAGCTGCTGCTGCTGCTGCTGCACGCTTGCGGCGCATCTCCTGCTTCTGCAGTCTCCGTGGTGGCAAGCCAGTCTGCCCCACTTGATACACAGGAGCAGCAGCAGTTGAGCAGTTGCTGCTGCTGCTGCTACAGCTGCTGCAGCTGCTGCTGCTGCAGCTCCTGCAGCTGCTGCTGCTGCAGCTGCTGCGGCTGCGTTGCTTCTGCTTTGAGGGGCCCTTGCCGGATGTGCCGGGGTGTATATACTGCAAGTGTTTGTTTTTAATCAATTTGTTTTTCAAAGTATTTGAAATTTCTTTTATAGAATGTTTAAAATCCTGCATGCAAGTTCTTTAATTCCATAAATGGATTTGCATTTAATTCTTCATTTGGATTAAAAATATATCTCAATTCAAAATCTAGAATTAAATCTTTATTCGAATGCGGTTATATAGAATACATGTGCAGACATTGACTTACTTTGTACTAGCAGCAGTAGCAGCAGCAGCAGCAGCAGCTGCTGCTGCTGCTGCAGCAGCAGCTACGCACGTGTCTATTAAGCTGCAAGTATGCATTTCTGGCACTTAATATTTTTGCATTTTCGCACTTTAGAGGTTTAGTATATTTAGATTAAAAGTTTTATTTATTTATATTCCTAATCATATTTATGTTCATTCCTTTCGTTTTGAATGAAAAATAAAAAAGAATTTTATTTGCCTGTTACAGAACACAGCTTCTGGCAGCTCCTTTTCAGTGAGTACAATTAATTATTAATTACTAATTATTAATTATTATTTATTTGTAATTTATTTCTTATTTAATTTTAATTTATTTTTTTGTTTTTATTTGTTTTCAGTTTAATGCATTTAATTATTGGTCGCTTGTCTTTGAGCCCCACAGCGACAGCGACAGCTGCAGCGAAGACGAAGAAGAGGCCCCTGCTGATGCTGCTGCTGCTGCTGCAGCTGGGGCCTCGGTGGCAGCTGCAGCAGCAACAGCAGCAGCAGCAGCAGCAGCAGGCAGTGCCGCTCCGCAGGCAGCAGCTAACCTGCACCAGCAAACGCCCCAGAAGACTGCCAAGAAGCCTCTGGCCCTTAACTATTACTTCGGGCTGCATAAGGCTGAGAGCAGCCCTGCTGCTGCTGGTGCAGCAGCAGCAGCTGCTGCTGCTGCTGTTGCGCTGCCTCCGGCGCCCGCAGCCACCGCTGTGGCGCGGCTGCACACGTCCCCAGCAGCAGCATGCATTGGCAGCAGCAGCAGCAGCAGCAGCAGCTACTCGTCGGAGTCCGGCGAGAAAACCCACGACCCATACAGCACGAGCAGCAGCAGCAGCAGCAACGGAAACACTGCAGAGGTGTTAAGACTTTCCACCACAGACGGCATTACTGTTGGTTACCCTCAGCAGCAGCAGCTGCAGCAGCAGCAGCAGCAGCAGGAGTCCCTGCGCCGCTCGGCTTCAGAAGGCGCAGCGCTGGCAGCGCTAGACAAGCCCCACGGAGACAGCTGCCCAGACCAAGAGCAGCAGCAGCAGCAGCAGCAGCAGCCGCTGACTGCAACAGCCCCAGGGCGGCTGCTGCTGCCTTCCGTTGTCTCCATTTCTAGCTTTAGATTAGGCCCTCTCGGCTTCCGTCGAGCTGCTGCTGCACCTGCTGCTGCAGCGCCTGCTGCAACAGCTGCTGCTGCAGCACCTGCTGCTGCAGCACCTGCTGCTGCACCTGTTGCTGCTGTGCCTGACGAGGCGCGTGCACCTGCAGCAGCTCCAGGAGCACCTGCAGCTCCTGCTGCTGCTGCTTCTCAGGACAGCAGGCAGTCTGCTGCTGCTGCTGCTGTACCTGCTGCTACTGCTGCTGCAGATGACGCGCAAGACAGCGAGCATAAGGCGGCTGCGCACAGCCTGTGGCCCACTCGCTCCGTCAGCAGCCCAGCAGCAGCAGCAGCAGCAGCAGCAGAAGCAGCAGCAACAGCAGCAGAAGGCTCGCCCCAGTCATTCGGTCCCTCCGTCAACCCAAGCCTGCTGCTGCTACCTTCGCTAGGAGAGCCTCATGCAGACGATGACAGTGCGGCAGCAACACCAGCAGCAGCAGCAGCAGCAGCAGCAGCAGCACGGGAAGTTGCAGGGGGCCCCGCTGTGGGGCCCCCCACACCCGTCAGCCCGCAGCCCCCTTGGGCCCAAGGAGACAGCAGCCCTCGAGAGGGCCCCCTAGCTTTTGCTGCTTCAGGTGGGGAAGGAAGCCCGTTTGCTGCTGCTGCTGCTGCTGCTGCTGAAGAAGACAGCAGCTGCAGCAGCAACGAGCGTGATACTACGGCTCCTGCTGACCTCCGCCCTGCAGCCGCAGAGGCAGCAGCAGAAGAAGCTGCAGCTGCTGCTGCCGGCGAGGGGCCTGAAGATACAGCTGCTGCAGGCGCTGCAGCAGCACCTGCAGGAACAGCAGCAGCAGCGGCTGCTGCTGCTGCTGCCACCAAGGCCCTGCTTCCCCCTCTTCGAACCCCACAGGGCGGCAGCCTAAGGGGGCCTAGCCCAGCAGCAGCAGCAGCAGCAGCAGGCAGAAGTGGGCGTTCCTGGCTACCCCGCAGCAGCCGCGAGCTGCATGCATGCAGCAGCATGAGTGTCATATTTGCTGCTCTAGCTGAAGACAGGCCGCAGCAGCAGAGTGCCCCGCAAAGCCCCAAAGCGGGCTCCCCACGGGACCGCCAACACGCCGCTGCTGCTGCTGCTGTTGCTGCTGCTGCTGCTGCGAGAGCGGGAGGCGCTGCAGCCCGCGCAGCAGCGAGTCCCCCAGCAGCAGCAGGAGCAGGAGCAGCAGCAGCAGCAGGGGGCCGCGGCACAGAGGTCCTTGCTTCCTACAGCTCCTTTGAGTCAACAGATCCCCTCACGAGCCGCTGCGACTCTTTTGCTTCTGTTGCTAGCCGTCCCCGCACAGACGACGAGGTGCAGCAGCAGCAGCAGCAGCAGCAGCAGCAACAGCAGGAGCAGCAGCAGCAGCGGCAGTAGCAAGGGCAAAATGCAGTCCCCGGCTGCTGCGGCGCGGCCCCTGAAGGAAGCCCTAGTAGCAGGCGAGCAGCAGCAGCAGCTGCTGCAGTAGCACTTGCTTTAGCTGCTTATGCAGCAGCTGCTGTTGTAGCGGCTGCAGCAGCTATAACTGCTGCTGCTGCTGCTGCCCTATCCCTACATGCAGCGTTTAGTTTATTTCTTATATTTGTTTTTTCGTCTTATGCAGCGGCAGCCGACGCAGCAGCGATTGCTGCTGCGAGCCAGCATTTTTTCTTTTTTGCTGCTGCTGCATCAGTCGCAGCAGCAGAGGTAGTTTGCTGCTGCTGCTGCAGCGGCTGCAGCAGTGCTGCAGGTACTGCGTATACGTGAGATAACAAACCACTTAAATTGCCCAATTCTATTGTTTTCTATTTAAATAAATAATAAATTAATTAGTTTTGAAAAGTGTCTTTTTGATTTAATGGCCGCGCAGCTCTTCGCCAGACGCTGTGGGGCCTGCGGTGTCTATACACTGCAACTTCGAATATATGAATTTACAAATTTATAAATTTATAAACTTATAATTATTTAAATGTATAAATAACATAAATATATAAATAAAAATGCACATTTATATTTCATAGGCAAATGTGCAAATAGTACATATATCTGTAAATATATTTTTTGGATTGTTAGCATGCATGCATAAACACTGGAGAGTGTATATACAATATAAATATATATATATTCATAATTTTGAATATTATTCAAAATATGTATATGCATTTATCTATTTATTTGTTTATCTTTGATTGCATTTGAATGCAAATCTGCAAAAAGTGGGTACTGCTGGCTGCGTGTGTGCGGTGTACATACACCCGAAAAGGAACAGTTCTGAGGCCATTTGAGAAGATTTTCTTCTTATTATTTTTTTTGGCGTATGAATATATATATATGTGTATATATATAAAATACATTCGTAATATGTATTTAATAGGTGCATAAATATATGAGATAAATATAATATAAATGTTAATTAAAATATATAAATAAATTGAATATCGAAGATAATAGTTGTTGATAAGGAGACAGAAAAGTTTGTTTAAAATGTTTTTTAAAATTGGATATCAGAAGGTCTTTTTTGTTTTTGTTCTCGAGACGCCAAATTAAACAATTTTACATGCATTTAAATCAGTTTTATCATTTAAAATAGGCAAATTAGCTTAATTTAATTCATTTTAATTAATATAAGCAATTTAACTTAATTCAATTTAATTCATTCAATTTATTTTAATTTAAAAACAAAAAACTCTTTTTAGGGCTGCACTAAACCCCGGGCTTTCGGAAACTGCTGCCCGCCTGCGGCAAACACAAGAAGCGTTTTCCTATTTAATTAAATTAAATTAAATTAAATTAATTCATTCAATCTAGATCAAATTAAATTAAATTGAATGAAATTAAATTAATTAATTTAAATTAAAACAATTTTATTCTATTTGGTTTAATTGAATTTGCCTGAATTAATTGGACCGAGTTAAAAGGATGGATTTGATTTGATAGAATTCAATTCATTTAATTTGATTTGATGTGTCTAATTTGGTGTATTTAATTTTGGTTTATTTTGATTCGATTTATTTAACTTAAGTAAACTTAATTCGATTTAATATGATTTAATTTAATTTAATCTAACTGATAGAAGCAATTAAATTTACAAAGAAATGAAAACGAAGTTAAAAATAGAAATAATATAATTTATGAGGAAATAACAAAAGAAATAAAAATATATTGCTAAAAAATAAGAATAATAAAATTCATAAATTAGAAGAAAATAAAATAAAATAAAATAAAACAAAAAAGCACAAAAAATGGCAAATGGAAAACAAAGAAAAGTGCGCATGCAATTAAATGCAAACAATTAAATCATTATAAAACAAATATCTATTATTTATTATTTATTATTTACTATTATTTATTATTATTTACTATTATCTATTATTTATTATTGTTCTTTATATATTATTTATTATCTATTATCTATTAATTTAATTAGAATAAATAAAATAAAAATTAAAATAAAGGTCCCAACCTGCTGCTTCTCTTCTTGCTGCTGCTGACTGCGGCAGCAGCGCCGCAAAAACCCCCGCGTGCTGCCCCACAACCTGAAATAAATAAATAAATAAATAAATAAATAAATAAATAAGTAAAATGAATAAATAAAATAATAAATAAATAAATAAATAAATAATTGTAGACTAATGGATTTGAGAGCTTGTTGATAGGCGGCCAACTTGTTGCAGGGCCCTGCAGCAAAATTGCTCGCCTTTAGGGTTTAGGGTTTAGGGTTTAGGGTTTAGGGTTTACTACCTCAACATCAGGGCTGTTCGGCAAGCCTGGGTATTCCCTGATCTGAAGTTGCGTAGCCATCGCGGGGGAGTGCAGAAGGAGGATCTCGAACAGACTCAGCCTTCATGCTGAGCGCTCAAACCCTAAACCCTAAACCCTAAACCCTAAACCCTAAGCTAAACCGTAAGCTGGGCAACATAAGGCCTAGCGCTCCAAGATCTGCGGCATTTAATGCAGGCTGCGCCTCAAGGGTTTAGGGTTTAGGGTTTAGGGTTTGGGCAGTAGGGCTTGTGGCGGTTTGCCTTCATTGTACCCACCGCATTGAAGCATCGTGGCTGCTGCTGCTGCTGCTGCTGCTGCTGCTGCTGCACTTGGGCCGCCGCTTAGTAGAGAAGCCTCTCGCTGCAGGAGCGTGGATGAGTCTGTGTTGAGGTGTACATACACCGGAGAAAAAGAAGGGATTAAATTAAATTAAAGTAAATTTTGAATTTAATTTAATTTAATTTAAAACCCTAAATTAAATAAAACAAATAAAAAAGAAATAAAAACGAATATGCAAAAAACAAAGAACTGCAGCAACAGATTTGGTTTAGGGTTTAAACTGCATTTGCTTTTGTTTATAAATTCATTTATCTTTTATTTATTTATTTTAAAATATTTATTTAAATTAATTGTTTACATATTTCCAAGTAAATAAAACAAAAATAGCTCATGTGTTTATACTCTGCAGCATGTGAATACGACGGACCAAACCCTAAACCCTAAACCCTAAACCCCCGGCTGGATCCGAGAAAGCTGCAGTGAACAGTGTTTGTGGTTTTGAGCTGCTGCTGCAGCAGCCAAATGAGCAGCAGCAAAAGAGCAGCAGCAAAAGGAGCAGCAGCAAAAAGAGCAGCAGCAAAAGGAGCAGCTGCAAAAGGCGCAGCAGCATAAGGAGCAGCAGCAAAAGGAGGAGCAGCAAAAGCAGCAGCAGCAAAAGCAGCAGCAGCAAAAGCAGCAGCAGCAAAAGCAGCAGCAAGAAAAGCAGCAGCAGCAAAAGCAGCAGCAGCAAAAGCAGCAGCAAAATTGAATTTAAATTGAGCAGCAGCAAATGTTGTAAATTCAGGTGTACGTACACCTCGTTGCCCGCCAAATGCGCGTTGGGAATTTCCCATTCTTTTTTTACTTCATTCCAAACCGCCAAAGAGCGGATCCTCTGCAAACCCTAAACCCTAAACCCTAGCCCTCGTGCTCAAAGCTGCAAACTCGAAGCAGTAACCCCCCGCCGCTTTCGTGGCTTCTCCCGGGGGCCCCGGCCAAACCCTAAACCCTAAACCCTAAACCCTAATCCGCTCTCGCGGCTTGTCAAGGCGGCTTGGCTAAACCCTAAACCCTAAGCCGTAAACCCTAAACCCTCACCGCGTCTTCTTCGGGGGGCACAAACCCTCGATTGATGGTTTGTTCGAGGCGGAGTTGGACTTGGAGCTGGTGGACTTGCTGGAGAAGGGTTTGAGTGTCTTTTTGGTATTTGTTTTGCAATTTGGAAAACCCATTTTCTTTCAAATTAAACTTTTCATTTAAAAGTTCAAATTCATTTGACAAACTCTTCAGCTGAGCTGCTCTGTCGCTCACGAGAGTTTCCAAAAACAAACAAGTTTCCAAACCCTTGTCGCGCTCCAGCCGGAGCTGCTCCTCTGCGAAACAAACCCTAAACCCTAAACCCTAGACCCTAAACCCTCGGCCCTAGGGGCTCTAGTGAGGGCTGCGGCCCCGGGCGCCCCCAAAGCGCAAACCCTAGGCAAACCCCCGGGCCTGCACAAGGTCTACAGCCCCAAACCCTAAACCCTAAACCCTAAACCCTAACCCATTTTCATTTGTTCTTCCAGCTTCAGCTGAGTCCGCTTCAGCTCCTGCTGCTGCTGCTGCGCCCTCTTCACTTCGGCTTTGCCCCGCAGCAGCTGCGTCTCCATGGCTTGCAGCTGCGCAGCTAATTCGGCCCGGTGCTGCAGCAAAGGGTTTAGGGTTTAGGGTTTAGGGTTTAGGGTTTAGGGAGGGGATGCGGGGGCTGGAGCTTGAGGATCGCCCTAAAATGCGAACCCTAGGAACCATGGATTCGGCACTCTATGTTTAAAGCTCAGGGTCTAGGGTTTAGGGTTTAGGGTTTAGGGTTTAGGGTTTAGGGTTTGTGTTACCTGCTCGAACTGCTGCGCCTCCAGCTCTTTGGCCTTCAACTCCTCTTCTGCCTTCCTCCTTGCCTTTTCTATTTCCTATTAAAATTGAAAACAAATAAACAAACAAATAAGTAAATAAATAAATAAATTAATTAATTAATTAATTAATTAAAAATAAATAATAGACAAATGGGCCAGATGATAAATAAATACACCAGCGGTTTGCTGCAAATCTTGAAGACAAACTGTAGCCCTTCAACCCTCACCATCCCTTTTAGGGTTTAGGGTTTAGAGTTTATGGTTTAGGGTTTAGGGTTTACGTGTTTTTGCTGTTCGAATTCCTGGCGAAGGTGGTTTTGCATTTCGAGGCTTTTGGCTTCTCCTTTTTTCCTTTCTTCTTCTCTAGCATTTTGAATTTGGATTTTGAATTCTTCTTCATTTTTAATTAATTTCCTTTTCATTTCTTCTTCATTTTTAATTATTTTCATTTTTAATTCTTCTTCGTTTTTAATTATTTTCTTTTTCATTTCTTCTTCAACTTCAATTATTTTCTTTTTCATTTCTTCTCCATTTGCTGCTTCCGCCGACCGCTGCAGCGCCAGCTGCCGAGCCTCTGCCGCCACAAACCCTAAACCCTAAACCCTAAACCCTAAGCCCTAAACCCTGAACAGGGGTTTACAAACGGCCGTCATGCGGGTATAAGACCGCAGCGGATGTGGCATTGGCGCCGCTTAAACCCTCAACCCCCCTAAACCCCAAACCCTAAACCCTAAACCCTACGGCCAACCCCAAACCCTTTTGCTGCCACTAAAGCTGCTTTGGCTTTCTTCCTCTTCTGCTGCCTTGTGTTCTTCCTTGTGGCTGTTAAGGGTTTAGGGTTTAGGGTTTAGGGTTTAGGGTTTAGGGTTTAGGGTTTAGGGACCCGCGCCTCGCTTGTCTCTGTCTCTGGCCCGCAGTGCCCAGAGCCCAGGGTTTGGGCTAGTCGCCTAGAGCTCAGAAATTAGGGTTTATGGTTTAGGGTTTAGGGTTTAGGGATTTCCTGCGCCCCTAGCTTATGCTCTTAATGTCGCTGACCCCGAGAGTTTAGGGTTTAGTGTTAAGAGCTTAGGGTTTAGGGTTTAGGGTTTAGGGTTTGCGGACGTTCTGCGTGCTGCAGCTGCTGCCGCAGCTGCGCAATTTGCTGCTGCAGCAGCGTAATTGCTGCTTCGCAAAACCCTTTATTTCTTCGAGGTTTATTTTCCACTTTCTTAACTCTGCTGCCAAACCTCAAAGTGCTGAGGGTTTCTTCCTGCTGCGCTGCAGCAGCAACAACTGCAGCAACCATTGCTGTTCGCGTGTTGCCCCCCAGAGACGCCTGCGCCCAAACCCTAAACCCTAAGCCCTAAACCCTAAACCCTCGCCACGCCTCTCCACGCTCAAGCCACCAAACGCACGCGCTAGCCGCGACAAACACCGATTTCTAAACCCTAAACCCTAAACCCTAAACCCTAAGCCCTGAAGCGGAGGCGCAGCTGCGCCAGCCCTTCTCCTGTCCTCCTCTACCAGCCCTAGGGCTTACCACCCAGCGAGTAAGGCCTAGGGTTTAGCTTTCAGGGTTTAGCTTTCAGGGTTTAGGGCTTAGGGTTTAGGGTTTAGGGTTTAGGGTTTAGGGTTTGCCTGGAGGATGCGGGTGAGTTTGGAGTCTCTGTAGGGGACAAAAGGAGCTTCTTCTGCCAAAGAAGAAATTACATTTCCGAGAGCACTGAGGGACAAATTAATTTTTGTTGCTTCTTTAAACCTCTCTCCAACGGACCCCGCCTTGCTTTGCCTGCAGCCCCGCAAACCCTAAATTAGGGTTTAGGGTTTGAAGCCCTCCTCGCCCGTCTGCGCTGCCTGCGCAGCAGCGCTTAGGCATTCGGGCTGAGGGCCTCATCCACACCGCCGCTCAAGCGTTTAGGGTTTAGGGTTTAGGGTTTAGGGTTTAGGGTCGAGGGTTTAGGGTTTAGGAATTAGGGATTAGGGTTTAGGGTTTAGGGTTGCCTCTCAGAGCCCGCCAAGTCCACCAAATTCAATTTGCCAACTCTCACGGTGCCCTCAGCGTCTTCGCTTTCAACCGCAAGGGTGAAAATGGAGTGGGACCTGCGCCCAAACCCTAAACCCTAAACCCTAAACCCTAAACCCTAAACCCTGAACTCTGAAGCTAAGCATAAACGCTAAGCGTTAAACCCTTGACTGCCGGGACAAACAAATGCCAAAGTATTGTTTGGTTTCTTCATTGGCCATTCAGAGAAAACTTTGGATTTTAAACCCTAAACCCTAAACTTTAAACCCTAAACCCTGAACTTTAAACCCTAGACCCTAGGCCTGAGTAGCATGCTGATGCAATGCATCAAAGCAGAGCCTAGGGAGAACGTTTGGGATTTGGAGACTAGAGTTAAAAATTTGGGGTTTAGAGTACAGGGTTTAGGGTTTAGGGTTCAGGGTTCAGGGTTTAGGGTTTAGGGTTTAGGGTTTAGGGTTTAGGGCCTCACCGACTAGACACCGAATTCATCAGCGTCGCCCCCACCTTGCGGTTGCGCAGCCCCGTTGCCTTCAAGCAGCAGCAGCAGCAGCAGCAGCAGCAGCAGCAACAGTAGCAACAGCAGCAGCAGCAGCAGCAAAAGCAACAGCAGACACGGCATCAGCAGCAGCAGAACCAGCAGCAGCAACAGCAGCAGCAACAGGATCAGCAACTGGCACCCTAACTCTAAACCCTAAACCCTCCGGCCCCTTGAGTGTCGTGTTAGCCCTAGACCCTAAACCCTAAACCCTAGCTTCCCCACCCTAAACCCTAGGCAGTGTCCCTCCCTTTCTTGGCCTAAACCCCAAACCCTAAACCCTAATTTCAAAACCTAAACCCTCACAACCAAACCCTCAGCCACACCGCCTGTCCCCAAAACTCGAAATCACTAGCCCAAACCTCAAACCCCAAACCCTAATCCCTAATCCCTAAACCCTAAACCCTAAACCCTAGAAGCTCAACTCTAAGTCCTCAACACCCGACGCCAAGCGTCATCCCCTGCTTCGAAGCCCTCCGAAAAGTCTCCAACCCCAAACCCTAAACCCCAAACCCTAGACCCTAAACCCTAAACCCTAAACCCTAAACCCTCACCAGGAGCTTTTCCAACTCTTCCGCCGACCTGACAGCAAAGGCTTGCAAACCCTCAGCATACACCCCAGATTCTGCGCTGTCTCGGAGGTTTAGTTTGGCATTAGGGTTTGGAGACAATAAGTCTCTAAACTGAAAGCAACAAACAATTAGGGTTTAGGGTTTAGGTTTTAGGGTTTAGGGTTTAGGGCTTAGGGTTAAGGGGGCTCAGTTTGGCATTAGGGTTTGGAGATAATAAGTCCGTAAACTCAAAGCAACAAAAACTTAGGGTTTAGGGTTTAGGGTTTACGGTTTAGGGTTTAGGGTTAAGGGGGTTTAGTTTGGCATTAGGGTTTGCAGATAGTAAGGGTTTAGGGTTTAGGGTTAAGGAGGTTTAGTTTTGCACTAGGGTTTGGAGATAATAAGTCTCTAAACTGAAAGCAACAAAGAATTAGGGTTTAGGTTTTAGGGTTTAGTGTAGCATTAGAGTTTGGAGACAACAAAACCCTAAACCCTAAAGCCTAAACCCTGAATTATGAAACAGACTTAGGGTTTGCAAGCCCTCGGCAATGCGCGTTTTTGAAAATTTTCGAAGTTGAAGGAGAAAACAAATAAAAGAAAACAATAAAAAGAAATAAAAAAATTAAAAGAATTAAATAATTAAATAAATAAAAATAAATTAATAAAAATAAAATAAATTAAAAAATAAAATAAATTAAATTGTCTCCTCACCTCCTCGTTGTAGAGCTCAAGAAAAGAGGCGCGCACCAGAAACGTCTGAAGGCCACTCGCAAGCCCTAAACCCTAAACCCTAAACCCTAAACCCTAAACCCTAAACCCTACGCCCTAGACCCTAAACCCTAAACGCTGAACCCTAAACCCTAAACCCTAAACCCTAAAACCTACACCCGGATGTGCAGCTCTCAGAGCGTGAGAGCTGCTCCTTGCTCGAAACGGCAACCACATCCCCAAACCCCAAGCACTAAACCCTAAACCCTAAACCCTAAACCCTACCTTGTCGGAGGCTTCTTGAATGCTGTTGAAAATGGCTGAAAAGGCCCTCGGGGTTATTCCTTTTTCTTCTCCCTCGCCTCCAAACATTGTGTAGGTTTTGCCAGTTCCAGTTTGCCCGTAGGCAAATATTGTGCCTGCAAAACCCTAAACCCTAAACTCTAAACCCTAAACCCTAAACCCTAAACCCTAGACGCTGAATTCTGAGCTCCCGGAACATTGTGCCGGCCTGAAAACCCTAAACTGTAAACCCTGAAAGCTGAGCTCCGATTGCTTGTGCGGCAATGCAAGGCCCAAAACCCCTAAACCCTAAACCCTAAACCCTAAACCCTAAACCCTAAACCCTTGGGGGTGGAGTTTTTGCCCCAGCGACACAAACGCGCATTTCGGACCCCGCTGGTGAAGTACATAGCTGAATGAATTTAATTAATTCAATTTAATTAGTTTAATTCAATTAATTTAATTAATTTAATTTAATTTAATTAATTTATTTTAATTTATTTATTTAATTTAATTACCATTAAAACCCTCCATGACACTTTCAACAATGTCCGACGCGAGGTCCCTATACACCTCAGCCTGTGTGGCGCTGGCGGGCAAAAAGAGCAGCTCATTTATTTATTTATTTTTATATTTATTTATTTATTTATTTATTTTCATTATTTATGTATTTATTTATTTATTATTGTTTTAATTATTAATTGTTTTGTTGCTTTTATTTGGTGCGTTTGTTCGTTTTCCGCGGCTTTACCTGGGCAGGGTCTATTCAGTACAGAGCAGCAGCAGCAGCAGCAGCAACAGCAGCAACAGCAGCAACAGCAAGACTAGTGCTAGCAGCAGCAGCAACAGCAGCAGCAGCAAGACGAGTGCTAGCAGCAGCAGCAACAGCGACAACAGCAGCTAGAGGAGGAACAGAAGACGCAACAGTTTCCGCATCAGCACCAGCAGCAACAATGAGTGCAGCAGCAGCAGCAGCAACAGCAACAGCAGCAGCAATGGAATCTGCAGCAGCAGCAGCAGCAGCAGCACGTTTTTCCGCCCATTTTGCTGCTACAGCTGCGCTTTTTTTCGCAGATCAAAGAGAAAATTTTACAGCAGCAAAGAGCAAACGAAAGAACAATTAAAAAGAATTAAAAGAATTTAAAAAGATTAAAAAGAATTAAAAAGATTAAAAAACTTCAGGGTTGCTGCGCACTTTTCGCCATAAACTGCATCAAATGTGAACTCCTTGGGGGCCCCCCGGGGCCCCAGCAGCAAAATTGAAGATTCTTCTTCTTTTATTTCCAAGACCCTTTCGCTGCTCTTCGCCAGCTCGGCAGCAGATAGCGGGCGGCAGCTGCAGCAGCAGCAGCAGCAGCAGCAGCAGTAGTAGTAGTAGTAGTACGGCAGCAGCAACAGCAGTAGCAGTAGTAGTAGTACGGCAGCAGCAGCAGCAGCAGAAGTAGTAGTAGTAGTATTAGTACGGCAGTAGCACCAGCAGCAGCAGCAGCAGTAGTAGTAGTAGTAGTAGTAGTAGTAGTACGGCAGCAGCAGCAGCAGCAGCAGCAAGAAGAAACCGTGCTGACGTGATTTGCTATTTATATTTGTTGCTGTTCATTTGCTGCTAAGTATTTACTCTTTTGTTCTTTTTTGTTTTGCTGCTGCTGCTGCTGCTGCTGGAGTTTTTTATTTTGCTTTTTATTATTTTGTGGCAGCGCTAAAAGGGGAAAGAAGATGCTGCCGAGGGTTTAGGGTTTAGCGTAAACCCTAAACGCTAAACCCTAAACCGCGACTCCAGTGAGCCGCAGATGCTGCCTAGGGTTTAGGGTTTAGCGTAAACCCTAAACCCTAAACCCTCGACCCTTAACCCTGACTCCAGTGAGTCCTCCTGAGGCTGCTTGTCCCACGTCTCCTCCAAAACCCTAAACCCTAAACCCTAAACCCTAAACCCTAAACCCTAAACCCTAGTTAGGACCCACCGCACAGCCACCCGGACCCGCTCAAGCTTTGGGGCGTCAGCTGCCTCTAGCTGCAGCGCCTCTGCGGCGGCCTCCATTTTGCGAAATAAAGCAATTAAATATTTAAATTAAATAATAAATAAATAAGTAAATAAACAAATAAATAAATGAATAAATAAATAAATGAATAAATAGAAGAAAAACTGAAGAGCTGGAAGTCAACAGTGGGCAACGCCGCGCTTCCTTGGCTGTCCAGACACCGCAGCTCTCGCCGCGAAAAAGACCTCGATTTGACTCTTTAGAAGAACCATTTATTATTTTTAGTTTTTAATTCATTTATTTATTTCTTTTTATTTAAATTTTAACTTCTAAAAGGCTCTTGAGGCGAACCACCGCCAGCCCCCGCCCCGCCGGTGGGGGCGGCGGAAATTCGCATGCAAGGGTCCTGCGGTTCTTCTTTTTGCTGCTCCAAGATGGAATTAATTGCCAATTTAAAAGAATTAATATTTAAATTAAAAAGAAATTCAATTTAACAACCATTTTTAAATTTAATTTGAAAAAGAATTCGCAAAAATTCAACGCCGTTTCGACTCCAAGCAGCGGCGTCGAATGGAGGCGCAGGAAGCAGCACAAACTTCGGGTGTACATACGCCGCAAAGCTGCGGAGACGCAGCAGCAGCAGATGTAGAAATGCAGCAGCAGCAAGCAGCAGAGCCGAGCTCAGAGTCTGCAGCAGAAGAAACAGCAGCAACTGCAGCAGCTGCTGCAGCAGATGCTGCTGCTGCTCCTGCTGCCGTTGACGCTGCAACAGATGATATAGAAGTGGAGCAGAGGGACTCTGAGGCAAGTCAGCTGGAGCAAGCAGCAGGAGCAGGAGCAGCAGCAGCAGCAGCAGCAGCAGCAGCAGAAGTGGAAATGCAGCAGGACGCGCCCGAGCCTCACTCACCATCAACACCGTCATCGTCATCAGCAGCAGCAGAATCAGCAGCAGCAGCAGAAGCAGCAGCAGCGGAAGCAGCAGCAGCAGCAGCAGCAGATACCGATATGCAGGAGGACACCGCTGCAGCTCCAGCATGCCCCCCACCGGAGCTGGACTCCTCCACCTCAGCAGCAACAGCAGCAGCAGCAACAGCAGCAGCAGCAGCCGCAGAAGCGGAAACAGCAGCAGCAGAAGCAGCAGCCGAAACAGCAGCAGCAGCAGCTGAGGGCGACATGCTCCTCGAGGGGCCCCCATCCCCCGCAGCTGAGGGGGCCCCTCCAGGGGGGCCCCCCTCTCCAGGGGGCCCCCCATCCCCAGGGGGCCCCCCCGAGGCCCTTTTCTCCGACGAGGGGCCCCTAGACGAGGAGGGCCCCCAGGGGGCCCCCCAGGGGGGGCCCCCCCAAGAGGAGGCCCCAGAGAACCACCAAGAGGGGGGCCCCCAAGAGGGGGGCCCCCAAGGGGGGGGCCCCCGGGGGGCCCCCAAGGGGGGCCCCCCGAAGCGGTCGGGGCGCAGCAGCTGGAAGGGGGCCCTCGTGGAGAAGCAAGGGTTTGGACGTTTGCTGCTGGGTAAGACTGCAGCAGGAGACGCAGCAGCAGGGAAGAAGCGGTGGCAGCAGCAGCAGCAGCAAAAGGCAGCAGCAGCAGCAGCGCGGGAGGCGGAGCGGGCGGCGCGGGCGGCGCGGGGCAAAGTGCTGCAGCAGCAGCGGCAGCAGCGGGAAAAGAAAAGAGAAAGAAGAAAAGAAAATGAATTAAAAAGTTCAAAAGTTCAAATAATTAAAAAGACAGAACAAATAAACAAGTGGAGCCGAAAGGCCCGCAGGCAGCTCGTCAAAATGTCCCCCGAAATGATCCGCCAGCTCTACGGCGTCCAGATCTGACCAAACCCTAATTTAGGGTTTAGGGTTTAGGGTTTGCGGTTTCCGGCTTCCGCCAAGGGGGTTGCCCGCGCAGCGCGACGCAGCGAGGCCCCTTCGCTTTGCGCAAACGGCTTCCAGGTTTTAAAACGGCTATCCAGTGGTCTTTAGGGTTTAGGGTTTAGGGTTTAGGGTTTGGCCACAGAAGAGTAAGTGATTCATTTTTTACGCGATCCTCTCGATTTATTCTGTGACGTAGAAATACTGAATTAGGTATATTCCTAGGGTTTAGGGTTTAGGGTTTAGGGTTTAGATTTTACGGTTTAGGGACCCTTCTTAGGGTTTAGGGTCTAGGGTTTGGATCTTTTTTTCTTTAAAGGGGCAAATGGCGCAAATAATACCCCAAATAAAGCGCGAATTGAAGAGTAACAAATCCCAAATAATAAGCGCTTAATAAATAAATAAATAAGTAAATAAAACCCTAAACCCTAAACCCTAAATAAATTAATAAGTTCAAAATTAAAAAATAAAAACTAGCCGACGCTGCTGCGCGTTGAAGCTGCTGCACTTTTTGTTGCTGCTGCTTTGGGGGTTTCTTTGGCCCTCGCCAAAGCCTTCGTGGGAACGAACTCTATTTTGTCTGCAGCAAACCACAAACGAGGGTTTAGGGTTTAGGGTTTAGGGCCCAGGGTCTGGAGTTCACTGAGCCCAAAACACCCCGCGCACCAACTCCTAAACCCCCAACCGTAAACCCTAAGCCCCAAACCCTAAGCCCAAACCCTAAACCCCAAACCCTAAACCCACACCCTAAACTCCAAACCCTAGACCCAAGTGCCAAACTCTAAACCGCAGACCCTAAACCCAAACCCTAAACCCAAACCCTAAACCCTAAACCCTAGCTGACCTTCGGTTTGTTCTTCGAGGGCGACATTGAGGGTTCGAGAGGGTTTGTGTTTTTTCTTTTTAATTAAAAGTTCTGAAATTTCTCTGAAGTCCAAAATGAAGAAATAAATGGCGTCGAGAAGTGCTGCGGTGTATCGACACCTCCGCTGCAGCGCGGACTCCCCGACCTCCCAGCTGCTGCTGCTGCTGCTGCTGCTGC